AAATTCCTCAGGAATGTCATCTAACCGAAGATCATTTCCCACAGCCCGTCCAGCTAGCTTTTTCAAACTTGAACGTTCATTTCTTATCTCCTCCACGAAGAGACGGAGTACTTCATCTATTGCCAAATCCACGTTTTTTTTAATGGTTCTTCTCTTTGCTTCTTTATTTTCTATTTAGCGTTCTGCAACCTGTTTCTCTGTTTCATTTTACACTTTCTTCCTTTTACTCTGGCTAAACCGTTTTTCATGCTTTCCTCTGCCTGCTCCTCGCTTTCATTTTTTTAGCCTTTCCTGTTATAGGACAGAGTTCAAAGTGAAAGCCTTTCATGGAAGAAGTTAGGGGTAGGGAGTTTCCATAATAGATTTTTCTAGGCCTAGGACAAAGAGTGGTTCCATTTGACGGGGAAATCTTAGAATTCTCCTCAGCACCCTGGATGATCGATCCATGGTCAACAACGGGGGAGAGCGGCCGCGTTGACGAAGTTGCCGCGCGTACGCGTGAAATGCTGCTTCCAGCATCCTACACTTCACACTTTTCTCCCATCTCCAAGCGACGCGGATGCGCGAAACATCGAGAACACGACTATTTATTCGGGCCTTTTCATATAGATCTGTGCAGTATCAATCCCATTATTCATTTCAATGTTGGCTGGTTAGGATGCGGAATATATATATACTTAGTTACAGGGGACAATGGAATGCCAGATCTGTACCTGAACTGGTACTCTAGTCTTTTTCCTTCCGTCTACCCGCAGTAACCATAGCAACCAGACAGCATGACTCGCTGCGCATGCGCAGCTTCCCGCCCGGGTCGAGGTGCCCATCTTCCACTAAGATACTCACTTCCCTTCCAGTACTCGCCGTTGACGGATCGTCGATTGGGTTGCCAGGCGCGCGCACTAAATGCAGCATCTGGCATCCTAGATTGTATATATGTTCTCCCAGCTCCACGCAACGCGGGCGCGCGAAGCATCGAGGACATGGCTCGTTGTCCCGCCCTTTTCATGTAGTTAATACATTATTTTTTTTTTCAAGGTTTGTTGGTTAGGATGCGGTGGATATATATTGTAATTCCAGTGGTACAAGGGGCCAGTGGAATGCCAAACCGGTACATGAGTTGATACTCTCTAGTCCATTATATTTAGCCCCTCGATAAGAAAGCTTTACGTTCGAGAGATTTTTTTTCTCATTTTGAACAGCACGAAGGGCTGCCGACACCAGAGTTTCGATTCCAGTCGATGAATCTTGTCAATTAACAGGAAAAGACTCTTGGAATTAAACCGCCGGTTCCTGTCATACCAGATCGTAATTGTCTGAATTTTGAAGTGGGTCGGTCTTTAAGATTCAGGTCACAAAATCAAGTTTTTTTTACCCTCCTCGGTTGACAGTCTGATTTTCAGTTTACCCACTTCATTCCGAAATCGGAACATTTCGCAGACATCTGAGCGAAATGAGCTGGTAAGTCCCTATTCTAATTTTGAGTCTTCATATTTTCATGTATGCATAAGTTGACACGTTATTGGCAAGTATAATCCTCGGCACGATTCAAACTAGTCTCATCCCCAGTTTCTAACTGCGAACAACAAAGAAGTCCACCAGTTGATCGAAACGAAGAATGTCCCACCATCGACGGACCGCGGGTTTCGCCCAGACCAGGCCATACGCTTAAGCGGAAGGGCCTGCGTGGTTCAATCTGGCGGTTTGTGCATTGCACCTCGCGAAGCGTGTTTGTGGAGGACGGTCGTTCAGTCGAGCGAAGTAAACATTTCACCCATTTGAGCATTGGTGAAAATGGAAAGTGAAATGTTCGCAGTTTCTAATAGGATCAAGGTGGATGTCTCTTGGTCATCCATAGGATTCCCTGGGATACCCGTATAACTTACGAATATAACTTAGTATATAACTTACGAATGGAACGGTTACACGATCCTCCACGGATGTATATTAAGTTTTTCTCGGAAGGGCCAGAGACCTGGCACAGACGTGGAAGACGGTGTCTTCCGTCTTACCGGACGGAAGACGGCGTCTTCCGTCTTACCGGATGGAAGACGATCGCTAGTTGATTATGGCTTTCATGATTCCTTTTCTTCGGAAAGGATTCCATGGAATTTTGAGATTTAGGGTTTTGTGTTCTCTGAATACCCAAAAGTAATCTGTAATAATCAATCAGTAAGGCGGGACACCTTTTGATATAGCGCAAATAATTAGCATTTTGCCGTGCTGACGACAAGCGGGAATTCCCTAAACCAATTCAAAGGGATACACTGGATAAAACAAATAAGTGCCGAAAGAACATTGAAGCGAAGAGAACCAACGACAATTGCAGAGAATCCCAGCGTCATCGACAGGCAAATGTGTTGCACTCTGGCTTTTATAAATCCACTTCTTTCCTTACAGAATATGGATGTCGATCGAAACCTTACAAATTGGTGGCGATAATTATTGGCTCGAAATGTTTACCCATTTTGACGCCATGGGACCAAATTTCGGCGATAAGAACAGCCATCACACCGAATCTTCCCGATCGAAGTGCACGAGACATCGTCGCCTACGGAAGTTGTTGCTATGGCAACCGTTCGCAATGGTCGTATGTCTTAGTTTGTCGCGTTGCACGTCCCGTCCCCGGTTTGCTTCACGTCAGTTTCCATCATTTATCTAGTGTTCTATATTATTGAACCATATTTTCAAATTTGAAGTTCTCAAAACGCCACGAAACAGATGGCGAAGAGCAGAAAGACATGCACGGAATGCTCTCATTCCACCATTTTCGACGGCTAGCTTTCCCATAAAACCGAGTTTCCGAGAATTCTCCTTACGACATAGTGCATACAGGGTCTACTCTCCGAATTCCGTGCTCCGATACCGATTGCATGAACATAGCATATTCATCCGAGCGTTTGCATTCATGGGCGCTTACGGTAACATCAGCGGGTTCGAAGTTTGCGTATGGGGAAATGCATCACCGAGTTCTGGGATCCCATCGGAATATGGCACTTTTCAGAGGAAAAAGAATCCCGCCAGATACCCGTTCGTGGCAGGGAATTACCCGATGGCACTCGCCATTCCTGGATCTGGCATTCCTGCAGAGCACCTGTCATGACTTCTGTGAGCTCGATCTTCGGTGCGTGGGCATGAAAGAGCCCTTTCCTCCCCCGTTTAGGGTGTAGCACACAGCAAATAATAATGTTGAGATTCCGCACTCTTGAGGGTGTGCATGGTCACCATGGTACCCGGCACCCCTGATGTTGGCATGGCCACCCTTGGGTGCAAACGCCTCACCCTCTTTTCGAGATAGCATCGATTTCTCGATTTGACGACAGGCACCCGTCGACATCGCAAAATAAAAATTCCCTCGGGATCACTCTCCATTCCTCGCCCTGTGTTTCCATTCGCACCTTTCAAAGATTCATTCCCACCTTTAATAATTTCACGAATGCGAGTTAATGTGCTTGCGCACGAGGAAGTTATCGGAAGGGGATGTCAATTCCCTTTAAAAATCGTTCTCAGCGACCGAGAGGAAGTTTCCAAGAAGGCATCGGCGAGAGGAAGTCGTCTCTCGGTCGCGATCGGAGAACGTCTTTCGAAGTCAATCAGGTGTTTCTTGGCTCACTGGAGCCGGAAAAAAAAATCAACCGAATTTTTTTTTATCTATCCGGACCGAGAATGAAACATCAGTTTTAATCATCAGATGTGGGACTTTCCTCCTCGCGGGGCGTTCCCATTGGGAGTGACGCAGTTGTGGACGTGGCGATCGTTTCCAGCCAATGGTCGGGAAGCAACCGCGTTTTTTTTTTTTTTTCTAATCCGAATATGTATATGACCTCCGCGACTCGCGGGTCGAGAGTCGCCGAATTCGCAATAGCAACCACGTCGAAAATGGAATCGTTTCTCGCTTTCCTCCTCGTCCTCGTCGTCTCCGTCCAGGTTCGGGTTCTCTCGCGGCCGCCGCGGAAAGTCGCGAGTCGCCCTCGCCGCAAACGTCAATTTTTCCATCTGCTCTCTCTCTCTCCCTCGCTCTCTCTCTCTCTCTTAGGGCGAGGAGACGAACGGAGCGGAAGTCTTCCGACCGTTCCCGTCGCTGAGGCAAAGTCAGTCCATTCCTTTTATTATACATTACCGTATACATATATACATATAAAATGTATCGTTTATGGTATATCGTATATAAAATATTTGTCGAGCCGACTCGAACACTTTGGGCTTTCCAGATCCTTCGTGCGGTGCGAACCTGAACCTCACGTCCGGGACGTCCTCGCCGTTGATCAGCGCCGACTTTCCCGGAAATTACCCGTCTTATCACTATTGCTCGTGGAAGTTCGCGGTCAGTTCCTTCCGTTCTGCGGATTTCCACGAAATCTTATTTCAAGTCGGATGCGGATTAAATGTCTGTCGTCGTAATTAATTAGAAGCCATTCATGTGTCTTTCTGCGCGTTTTGGCCCCGAAGCACTTTTAACGCGAAGGGAACGTCGTTCGTGGGCGCAGACGCATTTTTTTCCGCGGGGCGCGGCGGTGCCTTTTGCGGACGTTCTGCGGGAGCTTCTGTTCCGATTTTCGCGCGTTGTTCCTTAAAATATGTGACGAAAAAAAAAAATTGTTCTGTTCTGTTCCGTTTCCAGTGTCCCGAAGATATAACGCTCCAGTGCTCCTCCTTCCAACTCCCTGTCACTCTCTTGTGCCTACAGTCGGCCTTCATTTACAATAACAAATGGTAAGATTCGGAACGTTCTGCCTGCACTTCGGAACGTTCCGGCTGCACTCATCCCGTCGCCTTCCAGGCAGTGCGGGACGTCGACCCAGCTGCAGACGAAAGTGAACGTGGGGAAAACCCTGAGCGCCATCCTCTTCAGCTTAGGGAAGAGCGGACCGGGATTCAAATGCACCGTCGCCTGCGGTCAGTCCGCCGCTGCATTTTTTGCCCTGAAATTGCATGATGATTAGGGAGGAAAATCAATAATCAGTCGTATCTACCGTGTCGTTCGCATTTGCGTAAAAGTATGAATGGGTGTTGCCATGGAATAACGGGTTGCGATTCTCGTTTCAGGCCCGCAACCACCTCCCTGCAGTAAGTCGCCGAAGCGAATCTTCCGACAACCTCGCCGGAAAACGCGGTCGCTTCATGGAATCTCCTTCGGTAGATTGCGGGGTCTCCCGGAGCGGGTCAGGAGGAGGTCGGAGGAGCGAGTTGAGCAAAAGGAGCGAGCCGGCGTCGGGCATCGACCGGATCATCGGAGGCACGCCCGTTCCCTCTCAGCTCAAATATCCCTGGATGGCGTGGATGGTGAACGCCTCGGGGCAGTTCACGTGCGGGGGATCCCTCATCAACGACCGATACGTCCTCACCGCCGCCCACTGCGTCTCGTCAAAGTGAGCCTCCCCCCTCTCCTCCCCCCCGGCCACTAGGGGTTAAAAGATGTAAGACCGTTTCATTCGCGGTCGCAGTCCGTCGGGGACCTACATGGTGACGCTGGGAGACCTGGACAGATCGACTTCGAGCGAGAGTCGTTCGATCCAGATCGCGGCGACGGCCATCATGCATCCGGGGTTCGACGTGCCCACGTCCCTCAATAACGACATCGCTCTCCTCAAGCTCGCGACTCCCGTCGACTTCAGCGCGAATCCCAACATCAGGCCCATCTGCGTCTCGTCCGCGGCCGTGCCGAATCCGGGGGACACGGTCACGATCGCCGGTTGGGGTCGCGTCGCGGAACAACGTGGGTCGAGCCGCGAGGAGTCACCGCGAATCGCATCGAATCGTCGCGAATCCGTCTGATGTAAAAATGTCGATCTCGATTGCAGAAGATCCAGTCTCCTCGGTGTTGCTGGAGACGAACGCGACGGTGATCGCTTCCAAGACTTGCCAGAACTGGTTTGGCAATGACGCGAATGACAACTTCTTCTGCGCTCAGAACGCGGGGAAAAATATTTGCAACGTGAGCGAAATTATTAATCAATCGGCAGGTCTTGAAAATAATGGGATGAAAAATGTGCTCACAGGGCGATGCTGGTGGACCAGTCATGTTCCGCACTACGAATGGGACCGTCCTGAACGTCGGGATCAACTCGTTCGTCATCAAGGGCTGTTTCACTCAATTCGGCGGAGCTTACATCAAAACAGCGAGTAATTACGAGATTCCGATGTGATTCTTTTTTTTTTTTCCTCGCGACGGTGTTCATTGCAGATTAAAAATTTTTTTCCGTTTCAGACTACGTGGACAGCTTCATCAAGAGCAACACGGCGGACGCGCTGTGGTGTCCGGCGGCCTGATCCTTTTCCTCCGTTTTCCAGCGTGTTCCTTTTTGTCTTCAGACTTTTCGTCCTGAGAACGGTTTCGTGCGATGATATGCTTTTATCGAGAGTGAATTTGATTTTGTCGTTCCACAGCCAGCGTTTCCTTTCTTTCCCGTTGTTCGCGGCGGAAAAGGGCGAAAACCCGAAATTTCCCTTTCCCGCTGACCTCGTCTGCATTTCGCTCGGGTGCGTGGAGACTTCCAACTGTAATGGAGAGGATTTTTTTTTGTTGGCGTCTCGACATCTTCGGCATATTTATTAGATCTATGACTTCGTGGCTCGTTCCTTCCTGAAATCGGAGGTTAATAAAGAGAATTCTCCCGCACGTTCCTATGTGTAGCGCATTCGAAAAATTACCAGAGGATGTCTGGAAGCTTTTCGAGCGGCATCTTCCGTAATATTTCAGAAATTTATATTGAATCTTTACGTCGATATGAGCTGGAGACGGATCGCTTCCAAAGGCTTCCTGAAACGAGGAACCGATAAATCGCGCATTTCATGAGCAATTAATAAGGAGATAATAATAATTTGCGAGCCGATATTAACTATCGTCGAGCGTGAAACTCCCTCGAGTCTGTTCCTCACTCACTTTCCTTGCAGCCACGAAAGACCGCAACGGAAGTGAAGAATGGACTGGATCGGGAAGGGGGGGGGGGGTGGGGGAC